AGCTTTTAGGTGCAATTGCAGAGGTACGTCAGCCGAAGGCGTTTGCTCGTTCGTTGTAGTATAGATACGCTTGGTTTGCGCCAAGCGAATCCGAGCGTCGTCTGTTCCTAGGGCGCTGATCTCCTAGGTACGAAGCAAACGTCAGTCGACTAGGACGGTTTTGACCAAGCGTGAAACCCAACATTAATCCTAGTCACTTTAACACACAATCAAAAGAAAGTTACAATATCCACAAATAATTACATTAAAAGAAAACGACGGTAGTCGGTAGAACGCACATCCAATCTGAAATGATAACTAAGGATTTAAATCATCATGCAGTACATTCAACAACACAAGATCAAAATAAAATCCGACCACCCCGGGTCGAAATCCACAAAAATCATACAACCGCGGCTCCAACAAGGAGTTGGTTATCGAAAATAACACTGATGCTATCAACATGGTAGTCGGGCAACCTCAGTTTTGACGTGATGAGAAGCGCTTGCAAAGTCATTCATTTCAGCCTACCGCCAACCTAAGATTATATGTGCTCACACTTGTCTCCATACTTTCTCAATCTTCTTGGATGACAGGTTGTTTCACGGATGATTCTTCATCAGGGGCATTGCTTGAACTGTTGCAGGCCTCTCCCTTTAGGAAGTGGTCTCGGGTATTCCTCCTCCTCGTCCGAGCACAAGACTCGGATCTCAGAAGTCGGGCCGTCTCCATCGAATCGGCAGATACCCCCCTGTAGAACGGTCCACTCTGGGTCGATAACACGGTCGGCTCCTAAAGCAACGATCCCCCGCCCCAGATGCTTCCTAGAGATAGAAGATGTGTCCACTGCAAGTAACTTTCAATTATTCTCATCTCCTAAGTCCTGGATAACTGGGACGAAAAGAAATCAAGAAAGGTAAAGAATGTGAATCATTTTGACAGGTATAGGTAGATAAGGTCGTTCGGGATAGAAAGGGTCGATCCTCAGAAAAAAACTAAATCCGTTTGACCTTATCTGCTTTATTTCAATCGATTCATTCTACGACACGTGCTAAATAATCTTTTTTAAAACAATAAGTCTTTTGGACAACCAGGCAGGTAAGAGGTAGAAAAAAGACAATTTTTTTCATCTCCCCGAGTAGACACCATTAAACTTGTCCTTTACAACATCCTTCTACCTACCTGCAGAACATGCAAACACAAGAAGTTCAAGAAAAACCAGTGCAATCCCATACTCAAGTCAGACTTTCCCATTCACATGCATGACTCACACAACTTTTTCTACCTTTTCTTTCGAACGTTAAAAATAACAGGATCAAACAAAGTGTGGGTTCACACAGGTGTGAAGGAAAGCCTGAGTCATTCAACCGACCTTGAGTAAAGTTTAATCCGGCTCACTCAAGGAAGCCGAGGTAATACTCCCAAAGAGATCGGCCGCACAACTCACTAGTTGTAGCCGTCTACTAAAGATGGTCCGCGTCCTCCTCAAGAATCAACAAGCACACTAAGCGGGCACCCACAAGGACCGAAGCGAGATAGCCCTCGAGCTATGTGTCTATTCAACGTGCAACGAAAAAGTTTCAACGTCGTTGTACCCGTTGAATAGTCCTCGGGCCCCGTTGAATCCCCGTTGAATAGTACAATGGGCCCCGTTGAATAGCCCTCGGCCCCCCGTTGAATCCCCGTTGAATCCCCGTTGAATTGTACCCGTTGAGTAGTCCTCGGGGCGCATTGGGCCTCGAACTCGCCGCTGAACGTGCATGGAGCAAAAAAAAATAAAATCCCGTTGAATCCCCGTTGAATCCCCGTTGAATCCCGTTGAGTCCCGTTGAATCCCCGCTGAATCCCGTTGAATCCCGTCGATTTTTTTATTTTTATTTTTATTTTTATTTTTACCTCTAACCACAAAGTCCAGGAGCATGGTCCCATTAGCAGTCGGATAGGAATGTGGCCGATCCAGTGTGACACTGAGTGGCAGCGGGCTGACAGGTTCATTATGAATTTATGGGCTGAGAAAACAGGAGGATGACAAAAAAAAAAAAAAAAAATCAGAGACCTCCCACCTGAAATTACGACAGAGTGCTTCCCAGTCATCAGATCACAAATTATCTAATGTTGGTGGTTGCAACAACATTGAACAAAGTAATTGCCACATTTTCTAGAATAAAATAAACTTCTGTCAGCAGTGATCCTGACGCCATCCATACACTCCGTGATTGAAGGAGGGCTCCGCCCAATGAGATGATTGCACAACAATAAACAAAGTACTTAAAATCTTTTATCCAGTGGGCCTATGGCCGACCCCACTCTCTTTTGGGGTTGGCCATACACCGAACGCATTGAAAAGATTTTGGCGGGAAGCTTCCTTTGCACCAAGCCTACTGTTAAGGAGAGGAGGAGGGGAACCAAGATCTCCTTACTTTTTCGGGTAATACATGTAAAATACTGACCGTGGGATCACGGGTACTGCACGACATGATTCGGGTCACTGAACTGCCACACAAACTTTTTTTTATCCTATCTCGTTGCTAGTGGGACCATGCTCTAGGGTGTTGTAGAGGTCAGTTAGTGTGTGCACGGTGATCACCTGGAACTATGAGTCGTGAGTGTCTTGGAATATGAGACCACCTCCCAACCCATACTCACCTCAATACTCCTAGCGCACCCCCTATCCCACTATTCTACCTTAATGTGACCAGCACTCAGGACCGTTGCCCTACCAACGAGCAGGCAACTTGGACCGAACAGCAGTGATAGGCACCAAGGCTGATAGATTGCCCAGCCCTGGTGAAAGCGGAATCCAACGAACCTTGTCGAACGGGAACTTTGGATGCCAAACCCAGACAATGAACTACAGGCCCCATATATGTATAGCCACCAGACAGTTCAATCCGGATGTCATTAGGAACTACACCCAATGGCACCCTATGCCGTTGAAAAAAAAAAAAAAAAAAAAAA